CCACTGCCACCCTCCCCGAAACCCTTCCAACTACATCTCTCTCAGGAGTTTTTTGTGAGAATTAGCCCCTTGCCTTCAGCCAGCTTTCCAGGATGGCCGGCCAGCCTGCCCTGCCACGGAGGGAGAGCATCCGCAGGAGGAGGCTGCCGTGCCTCCTCGGCAGATGTGATGGTGTTTTACCGGACACTACAAGTATTAATGAGAGCAGCCTACGCTATAACGTACATTAAAATGTATCTGGTGGATTTAATCTGTTGTGGCACGATCCCAGTGCTTGCCTGCAAGGGAACAGACTTGGTTCTCAGGCCAGGAATGCGATCTCCGAGAGGCCAGAGTGGGACGTAGATGATGTCCTCCTGCCAGAACGTCCCCATGTGTGCAGTTGCTGCTGTGTAGAGCACCGGGCAGCCGCTCGCCGAGGCGCAGGGTTCAGCTGGGGCTGGAGGACATCCCCCGCAGGGGACTGTGCCGTCGGTGCTGGAAAAGGGACCAGCCCCGCACTGTGAGCCCGCGCGATCTGTCCGAGCATTTTGTGGCCAAAAAAAATTCTCCTTCTGGAGCCAGGGAGACGTTTGTTGTTGAGTTCCTGGGAACAAGGCTGGACCCTCTGTCAAGTCGGTTAGAGAAGCTTAGTACTAGTGTGTCTGTGTCATGGGCCAGGTTTGTCTTCAGGCTTATGACCAAAAACTCCCCAACCGTTTCCAAGGAGTCTAAAACACTGGTTAGCAATCCGACGCTGGAAGCGTCAAGGCCAGTAGGAATGGTGCTCCTGAGCATCACCCTGACCCACCCAAACCCATCACGCACTTGCATCCCCGACGCACCCTGAGAAAGCAGCAGCGTGGTCCAGGTGGCACAGAGGAGCAGACTACGGTCCTGCCTCTACCTCCCAGAGGAAAGAGCAGACAGAAGCACTCTCCCAAAACGCCCTGAGACTCGAGTGTACATCATCATTTCTGAGCTCCTGCAACGGCACGAGATAATTGATGCTGACAGATATAGGTATGTGACCTATATAAGATGTTACGCTGAGAACGTGGCTACGGAAAGAGACTTCTCACAGGACTGCTCGTGGCCGAAGCAGCGGCCTGTGAGATCTTTATTCGTGCTGCAAAGGCTAGCTAGCGAACACGAGCCAGTACCACTCTTAAAAGTTGATGTGTTGGTACGAGGAGGAGGACCAAAGCGTCCCGGCTGGCACCCCGTGGTCGAAGGAGAGGGGAGGGAGCCAGGTTGGGGACGGGGCAGAACCATCTCCATGTCCCAGAGAGGGCAGCTCAGCTCTCTGTGGGCACCGGTGCAGCAGGGATGGGGAGCAGGGACCCAAGGAGGAGGTCGAGGGCTGGGAGCCAGCCCGACACTCGCTGCCCCGGCCCCACTCTCACCCAGTGCCTTGGAAATTAGTCTCGAGACCAAATCCTGACTGTCCCGTAGCTCGGGCAAGCAGCTCTGGGTCTGAACCCCCAGCTCCAGGCAGGGAAAGGAGATCGTAGTGGGTAACAACGCTATTTTCAGCATTGCCCAAGTCTCACCAGCTTTTCCAGTGCTGGCGCAACCCGCTGGCACTGGGCAAGCAAGGAGGGTTGTTTGAAGACCAGCGGTTGCCCCATTAAATAGCCTGGTCCCTCATTTAACATCCTCAGCCATACTCCCCCCACACCTCCCTTTCCCCCCTTCAGCCCGACGAGGGAACAGTGACCATCACCCTGCCCCTGCGCTCCCCACCGCATCTCTTCCTGAATGATTGCCGGAGGCCGCCAACCTTTTTCCTTTTGCTGGTTTCCCGCTGAATCATTTCTCCTGCATGTTCGATGGCCCAAACTGTATTAACTGTAATTTTGTACGAAGAGTGACTGTTCGGTGGTTTAATAGATCATTAGTTATTGTAATAATTTATTGGCTGTCAGTAATGTATTTATTAGTTACAAAATGTTAATAAAGTGCCAGCTCTTTTCTAGTGTGAGAGGGTTTTTATTGCATCTCCCTGGAGCGCGCTCAGCTCCCTAAGCCCATTTTTGCCCTACGCCTGGGCACACACACGCGCGACACGCACCCGCGGTGTCAGTCATCTGCCGCAGCCTCGCTCGCCTGGAGATGTGGAATTTGACAGGCGTATAACCACAAAGTATTGAATTTCATGTAAGTATTTGGTGGGAAGTTTTTCTCTTTCGTGTTAAGTAGAACAACTTTACTCTTTGTTCCTCGACTGCTTGAGATTATTCTTCCCCTCCTGAAGTCCCTTTCCCCCGTGTATGAATGCCAGACCATCCATGCTTTTCCTCCGGCGCTGCCAGACCCCACGATGGCGTCCGTCTCCGCGGCCCCCTCCCCCCCCGGCCCCCGCCGTGGGCGATGCTCAGCACAGGCATCAGTGGGGCAGAGCATCCCTGCTGCCCCATCACTTCCTCCAGTGCTTCGGTCGCAGACCCATCCCAAGGGGCAAGCCCTGCATCTCTTTTCCGACGTCTCTTCATGCGAGCACGGAGGCAGAGGAGCCATTTCTGGGTCCGTTCAATAAATGGTGCTTTTGCCTCCTTACAGCAGCTGGAGCACCTCTCCCTCCCTTTGCAATAGCACCTGGGCCAGTTTGTTCTTTTATGTTTAAATCAAAGATCTTCTGTTATCTGGGGCATTAAAGAAAAGCAAAGAACTCCAAGAAACCAAGAGAAAATTTTCCACAGACTTCAGCAAAGGAAAATTAACTGTTACTCCTGTTGACTTCACCAATTTCCAGTGACATCGCTTCAGCTGGACCCATCCTCAGACACACGTCCCCGTATGCCGCATCCCGCAGGTTAGAGAGAATTACAGGCCAGCTCTGTGAGAAAACAGCAGCTGAGAGGGGAAGGATTTTGCTTTGTATCATCATATTGAGGATTTTTAGAAATTTCCTCCTGGATGACTGCATGGGCGTCCAAGGCTCAGAAGTCACCAGGGTTCTTTTCCTTTCTCTTGGGATTTTCGTTCCCTCTGGGCACGTGCTTTCTTCCAGCTGCTCCTCCACCACCAGTCTTTTATTTAAACACAATACATATCTGGAACAATAAGGAAAAAACCCACCCAGATACTTTCCATGAAAAATCTCAGGAGCCGGCACATTCGCAACAGCCAGGAGCCAAGAAGAGCCGCGTCATTTTGTGCGGTTTCTGTTTCCCCCATGAAGATGACGGGGTGCAGTTCTGCTTTTTGGGGGTTTTTTTGTTTTTAAAGACAAGGACCATATGAGGTCCCAAAGCTTTAGAAAGCAACCGCTTGGCATGCCTAGCTCCCCTTTGTCAGGGAACCGCCAGTGTCATCTCAAAGCCTTGCAAGACAAAAATCAGACATCTGCTGAATTTTGCATGCAAAGCTGCTGTTGAAGTGTAGCTGATAAAATGACTCGCTAATAAAACATTCATGGAAAACTCCAAAACGTGTAATTGGGTCATCATTTCATTAGGAAACACGTGTGTTCTCACAAAGCTTCGGCAAGTCCAAAGCCCACCCCCCCCTCGCTGTGCCTCC